TGGGTGATACCATCAGTAGTTCTCTTGATTTAATTCATCTCAATTTAATGAGTAATGACAATTCGTTTATTTGTTATTTTTGTTGAATACATGAGGTATTTAGCTAATGAGTTATTGAGTTATCGAATCGAACACAAAAAAAACGTTAATCTAGTTAATGTTTACAGGCTACAACAGTTACTTTAGCACAAGTTTTACTTTGATAATTATAAAACACCAAAATGCCACGAATCATGGCACAAAAATTAAAGTGATTCACTAAAATTCCTAAGATGTGTCTTTTAAGAGTAAGTGGAACAAGCAACTCAATCGCTTCTTTCTACACTGAAAAATGGAATGCAAAAAGGTACGCGTCTTGTTGGCACGCTTTTTCGGTATAAAAATACGTTATTGATGTCGAATAGTGAACTATATTTTGGAAACATCTTTATAGAAACTAATTATGGGAAAGAACTACTTTTTAGCGATGATGATGGAATATATTAGTAAAACATACAGGGTTAGGCAAAAGTCTGGACAACCCGAGTTAACTTTTTAACGCGTTGCAGTAGGAAAACCTAACTCGGCACATGGTTTCAACATAAAAAAAACACTGTTTCTTAAAGTCCCCGTACAGTAATATTATGGGTATTTTGGGGGTAGCCCCAAGTTTTCAAATTTATACCCCTATTGAGTAGGCCCCACATTTTAACAAATTTATCAATATAAATTAAATGGTGCAAACCGGAAGTATATATCACACCCCTAACCAAAATGTCAATCATTTTAAAATTTCAGATGGGCAAGCAAGAAAAGGTTTGGACACCCCCAATTAACTTTTTAACGCATTGCAGTAGGAAAACCGAACCCGGAACATGTTTACATCATAAAATTCAACTTTTTCATCAAAGTCATAACTTTTCCCCGGTCCCCAAAACGGCGTACTTTGGGACCAGCCCCAAATTTTCAAATGTAAACCCCTATCAAGTTACCCCTAACTCGATAGTGGTTCACATTTGAAAGTTTGGGGCTGCCCCCGAAGTAACCCATTTTGGGGGCCGGGGAAAAGTTGTGACCTTGATGAAAAAGTTAAGTTTTTTTATGCTGTAAACATGTGCCGGGTTTGGTTGTCCTACTGAAATGCGTAAACAAGTTAACTGGGGGTGTCCAGACTTTTGACTAACTCTGTATATCTATTACAGAGGCTTATACAATGTATTTAACTTCTTACACATTACTTCTCTACCATTTTTCTTCTCCAATTTGAAGTTTGCAAGAACAAGGTCGTCCCAAGTTCTGGTTTATAACGAGCAAACTTATGGGACCACTGACTAACGACCAACACAACCTTGTAAACTAATGATACCGAGGTTGTAGTTCAGGTTCATTGTTATATAATGTTTGTTATAAACTTATCAGATTCTTTGTAAAAAAAAACATAATACATGTTTTAATTATAAAATTAGCATAGTTTTTAAGCAATATTTTTTCATGTAATTCGCCTATTGGGTCTGATGTTGATTGTAGTGTCCAGTCAAAATCGATCACCATCATCTTTTATATATATTTACCATTTAGTGATTTAATAGTATAAGCGTAATAGTATAATAATTTAATAGTATAAGTATATTATATGTTTTAAGTGTTATTGGACATATTTTTTATTTACTTTCCGTAATATTTTTTCATCCAATTCCAGCTCATTATAGAAAAATGGTTGTGATAAAGTGACATTTTAGTGATGCGAGAAAGTTGCAAATTATCAAAGATTTGGCGATTTACCCAGGTTTCCTGTTGTAATTACCAAGGGAATATAGAAAATATTTGGAAACTAACTATTATATTACTTCTTTGTTTTTTGAGTGAAGAAAAAATTAAATTAATACAGTAGTAGCTTGAAGTACTTAGGAAACTGATTTATGTTGAAATCCGTAGTATATTAACGGTTAGAGCCACAACAACCACATTGTATTTCACAATGCGACTGTATACAATCCCCGATGAATATGACTGATTAATTGAAACTAATCATGTGATTGTTCTATTCGGTACTGTTTTGTTACAGTGAGAAACCGGAATCTGATAATGTTTGTTTTGCGATATTATTACCCTTTTAGGCAAGTACTATACTGTTACAAATAATAAAGTACTAGATATAAAACTCAGAAAAAGCCTTTAAAAAATGTATGAAAAAACTTGAAGTGAAGTTTTTTATAAATTTTTTAAAGGCTTTTTCGAGTTTTATGTTCACAGAGTGTATTTCACCTTTTTAGTTTAATACAATCTGTCACGATAAAATAATAAATAAGTAATAGTACAAATTTATGTACTTAGAAAGAAGATAAACTACTATTGGTGCAGCTTATTGCAACCGGGGATTTTATCATCCTTTGGAACAAAGGATTTGATTAATATTTCTTTGAATTTTAAATTTACATTATTTAAAATAGAACAAGTTGTAAAGATTGTGTTAAGTTTCCAATCGTTTTAACCTATTTTTTTTATTGTTAACGCTGTTCAAAGCTAATACTTTAATACTTTCTATTGAAATGGTAACCGTACTAAGGTAGGTATTTTAAGCCAAATATGAATGGAGATGAGTGTAGGATGAATGACACGATCTTGTAGTCTTGTTACTGACTAAGGCCGACATATTCCTTAGAAAGAAAAATGTTTCAATAAACCTATAATAACGTCCCCTTTCTAAAATATACTTTATAGCCAATTGAAATTGTAGCATCTTGTTTTAGTAAACCCCTTTACAAATATAAACTATATTCCCTTGGCATCACTAATGTCATTCAATTCAGACACTTTATTTGCCCAATTCACTAAATAAAATGTAACATCATTCAATTCAGACACAATATTTGCACTAAATAAAATGTTATTAAAATTTATACTACACGTCCATTTAAATGTTGACAAATTTGCAATTGCACCGTCCTTTGAACCAAATGACGGACCTAGGCTTGCTTTGATGGTTTTCCAACAGAAAGTTTCTCTTAAGTATGCAAACTACAATCAGCCATCAAACTTGGAAGTTTCAAAGGCTTGTTTGTCTCATTAGTTTTGCAAATCAAGAGAACTCGTCGGACTCATCATATAGAGGGAATTGAAAATGTTCATTGTTGACATTTATTACCAGTCCGCTCATGAAGCAAGAGTTGTGTGATTTTTTCACTCAGCATCGCCAAGACAACGCTCTTATTCTGTTACCAGCTACGAACGGCTTATCTGGATTTTTGTATCAGCAAAACGCTAACTCCGATCTTAAAGAGATTTCGCCGGGGGAGTAAGTTATATAGGTTATATCAAGACACATAAACAGTTTTTAAATTGATAACAAGATAAATACAAAATTTAGGAGAAAATAATTGGATATGTATCGTAAAATATCTTACTAACTGGACTTGGAAGCATTGTTACGACTTTTTTGTAATAAATTAAAAATTATAACAATGATTGGGATGTGCTGAGTAGTAATTTTACTGCTAATCATTGAGCAATAATTCTAACGGTTAAATTTAATGCGTCTTAACAAACAAGAAACATTAACCCATTTTCTGTTTATTGTCAATCAATCTGCATAAATCATTGCATAAAACTTTGAAAAAATATTGATTGACTCTGATTTTTATTCAAGACATATTCTAAAATGGACAATAAAGCCAGCCCAAGATTATAACTTTTTTTGACGAAGGTAGATCATGTTTTAGAACCTGCATAATAAAATACTCATTAATTTCTGAATACGAATATAATAAAGCCAATAATTTTGAGGTACTCCAGGGAACTAGATTAAGTAGACGTAAAAGACAGCAAACACGTAAAAATTAACAGGAAAATAACTATACTAGTTTCTACTCATGATACTGGAACCTCCACAGCCTCTTTAACAAGACATTTAAATAATTAAGCAATTACACTCCAAGAAGAGAACGCATTAAGTTAACGATGTTTCAACTCCATTCATCAAACGCATTCACCAGTCGTCATCGCCAGAAGAGGTTGTGTAGTTAACAACGTGTAATTAAGGTGCAAAACCCTTCAGAGCACATTGTAATTCTCTTAATGTAGCTGAGATTTCAAGCTTTGTTATGTGTTGTTAAATTGCTTGGACATGAAAAAATATCTTTTTTTATATAAAAATTTAAATGGAGTCGGAAACCTATAGCGCATTTCTTATTATCTCTTACTATTAATATTTTAACACGGTGTTATCCTAATATTTGTCATATACGATACATTTTTTTTAAACGAATGTAACAAAATAGGTGATATAGATATTATTGGAATATGGCTCAGAGGTCCCCAGTATAGCTTTGCTATTTGACTTGCTTAGATAGGTCAATATAACGACATAGGACATAGGTATGCAAATATACTTCCACAGGAGTATTTAGTTTGCTCAGTAAACTTTGCTATCAGTTGCATCAAAGTATTATTTTAATTAACATGTGTTCTTTGTGAGATTGCGACTTTACGGTCTAAAATATATGAAATTCACATCTGGTCTAAAAACTGTATAAAATGCAATACATTACGACTATTAACTGTCATTAAAAAATATATACAGGGTTTCATGTAAACTGAAAATACTGGTAGTAAATTCGGTGTTTTTAATACTCGAAATTTCATTAATCCGGATAGTAGCTCCGCTATTTGCAGTATCCTGAAACTGTCCAAGAAGTACAAAGGGCACATTTGCACAAGACATTTTGTTGGTCGTAACTCATCTTCAAAATAAGTTCATTACCTCAACAAAATTCATATTTCTTTAATTAAAACATGCCTAAAAATACGCACATAACACTTATGTGTAACCATAAAAATATGACAGGTTCAATCCAAGACTTACCGTTGTAGCCCCCTCTTAGAATTTATGAACAACCTAACTTATTTGAAACGCGTTTAAAACGACTTATCAACAAAGTTAATGTCATGTTTTACTTTATTAAATCACCCTCATGCTCGTAATATAATAACGTTTGGTTAAGTAAATAAAATTTTTAACTGAATACAGTTTATTGTTTTATGTTTTCTTTCAACATACATTTTTACACTTTTTTTAACCCACTACTCTAGTTCAATCTTTCGGAAAAATTGATGCCTTTGTCTTCCATAGTCTTTTTTGTCCAGTCGTCAAACATTTTTATTTGCTCCCGAGTCATGACACGTTCCCATTCACCGTCCTCCCCATTTCTTATGTATGATAAAGGTTCTCCATTTGCCATTTTTTTAACACCGTATTTCTTTTCCAGCTCGATGTAATCCTGATGGTAGTTTACTGCTGGGTTTTGTTTCATTTTGCTAAAACTTAGGTGTTCAATTAATGCTTTTAATTCTTCGTCGCTGTAGGTAACTTTGAGAAACTCCGCTGTTTTCTTGACCACCTTTGATAGATCCTGTGACATCATTATTGGGATTATGATCGGTCATATGATAAATCAAGCTAAAAATTGATACTATACATTGATTGTTTATATTGTTTGATTGTTTATTGGTTATAACCAATTGAAACTATTTGATGGATGTGGAACTCTTAGGTTCTGAAATAACTTTGAAAATTGCGGAAAGATTAACGTAGCTAGAGTGGTTTAGAGATATTTAACTTGTACTACTGTTAAATCTCAGTTCTGCACCTTGAAAGGTACAGAACATATTTACATTATAAAAACAAAATCATGCTTGAAAACTCAGTTACAGTTGAAACAAGTAGAAGCTAACTAACTGTAAACTGGGGATGGCAATATTATACAAGAATGATATCTATAACGTTGTATTTATAACCTTCAAGAATTACTGTGTATCAATCTTTGTATAAATGAAAAGTCTTACCTTTTTCATATCCTCGAAAGTGATGAAGAGAATATTATCATTCTCCTCGCTGAGCTTCTTGTACGTAAGAACATGATCATAGTACGGACTGTATACAACTAGAATGAAAACAGTGGTATAGTACTTAACCCAACCAAACTGAAAAACTTGAATACTTAAATTGTTAATAAATAATCACGTCTTACAAATGTAACTACTGTTCCTTGTAACGTTATTGACATAAAAATCTTTTTTGGCTAGAAACGTTAAACTAATTCATCTAAGAATCGTCCTGGCTCTATGTAGATTGCTCTATTGTGACTGACACTGTAAACATCAAAGTTCTGACAAAAACGCGTATCTTTATAATAGTTAAATAAATTTTTTTGCTGCACCTCCGGTGTTTATCGTTTATACACTAGCAGGCAATACCAATGTATCTTTGGTCCTTTTGATTAAATTACGTTTATTTAATAATGTTACCTTTGTCTTCAACAAATGCTTTCAAAAAGTGATCCATGGTTCCCTTGTAGTTGTTCCAAGCCATAAAATGATAGAAGTACGAAATTGCCACATCCTTAGGATTTCTGGTCACATAAATTATCTGGAAAACCTTTTATGTAAGTAAGTTGCCATAGAATAGGAGGAACAATACCATTTTAATGTATAATTTAAAATTCGTATGAAATAAGTTCATACGAACGTGCAACTGTAAGTGTGATTCTTAGTGATGGTTACTTATTACAAAAGTATGTTTCGTAAAATTTTTTTGGCAGGCCACGTTTTTTTTTACATTTTGAGTTTGTTAAAATTGTATTCACTGGCTGTTCCACCTTAGCATATAATGATTTTTTGACTTCGTAGGGTTGGGGGTGGTTGTTTTGTGTATAAACAAAATGTAATTCACGGTAACGTCGATAAATTAAAATATGAAATGGTGACCATAAAAATCTAGGTATATAAAGTCAAGTATGAGTGTATGTTAATTTTAATGGAGATGAGTGTAGGATGAGTGGCACGATCTTGTAGTCTTGTTAGTGACTAAGACCGAAATGCTCATTAGACACAGCTGTTAATTAATAGCCCATATAGCCAATGGCAACTAAGGGATCTACAGTTTATAGTGGAATCTGAACCACATTTGTGCCTTGTAATTAACGAATTGTAATTTACGAATTTTTAGGATAGTACTGCGGAAAGTCGTAGTACTCACTAGTGTGGACGTTAATCCAAACCAGGGAGTATCACATCCACAGTTCATGCCTATAAAAATCCAAAATTCGTGACCTCCTAGTAGCTGGATTACAGGACGAAGCCACCATCCCAGTCATATTATTATAGAATTACTAATCTATTTTGAAGTAAACCAACTTATATCCAACCAACAGAGTTAAATAATTCCACATTAATAGAATTACTAATTCGTTATATAAATATTAACAAACTGGTAAGTAGCCTATATTGACATACTTTCTGTAAAGTGAGATACAATAAATTTAACCTCTGATCTAAAATAGGGGACTTACTTTAGGCTTCACGGTCAAAATGTCTTTTGGCAGCAGATGTTTTGGAAGATGGGTCATGATATACCTTGGAGGATGAGCATCCTTAACCTCCTGTATCATATCAGGAATAACTTCGTAGCTGTCTTCTGGCTTATCCCCCCATAAGAGTCTGTACCTGAATCAGAATATATTCCTCTTTTAAAAATGCTATAAGAGGAAACCGTTGTACTACTATTAATTTGAAAATAGTAACAAGATTAACCACACGAATCACATAAAAAACACAAACTTATACTTTTAGCTTATTGGCTAGATTCTATATCATTAGATTTTTATTGTTTAAGAAAGGCTGTTCCCTACAACCATATGCAGTGTTTACCTTTTTAATTTACAAAGAAAAAAAGTTTCTCAAGTTGAAGTTATTTTCCAAAATAAAAATAAATTTTCATGATACCTGCCATATTATTAAACTAATTATTAGTAGTATATTAGCACACATGTACACTTGTTAAGAATGCTTACTTGATGTTTTTTTTTTAGTTTTTTTTGCACAGTAAAGATGCCTACCAATTTGGTAGGATTCCGACACACATTGTTGGTTAAATTAAGCGAAGGTTTGAAAAAAAATTACCAAAGGACAACAAAAATAATATGTTAATAAAACATTATTTGTATAAACACATAAGCAATTTATGATTACTTACTCCAAGAACAAATATCTTTCATAAATCATTTTTCTGGCCTTTTCGTAATCAAGGTTGTTTTTCAACAGCCAGACCATTTCTTGAGTCCATGTCGTACCTATGATCATCACGAGTAATTTAAAATCATCTGATTCTATGTATATAAATTCTATAACTTCAATTAGCCTACTACTATAATTCATGTAAAAAAGCTCTCAAGCAATGTTTACAGAACAATTCTCCAATAGAAAAAGTCAAGTTCAACACAGCTTATTAAGTTTAAGATTTTTTAACAGACTCCCATGTGAAGCCCGAAACCAGAATTTTTCAAAATTCAAAACCAACCTCAGAAACCTTTTATTGGCCAACCCACTGTATTTTTGGAATGATTTTTGTAATATACCAGCAGCATCCGTAAGTACCTATTTTTAAGTTTTTTTTACCTATTTTTAAGTTTTGACTCTTGATTGATATGTGCTATTTATTTGACTTGCATGTGTAATTAGACCTTGCATCTTTTAGTTTTTAGTTGTGAACATAAAGTGATTATTTATTATTATATAGGCATATTTATTTATTTATTGTTGAAATTTTGAGAGTTTTGTAGAAGCATGTTGATTGATATTGAATTTGCCTTGTGAATGCCTTGTGAACATTATGCCTTGTTTAACTAACGATTCCAAATGCATGTAATTTGTCAAAAGGAAAATAAATATTGTTATTCTTATTCTTATTCTAATAAAATAAAAATAAGGGAAATAACTATTTGACTAACTAATTATATAAGCAATCTTCAGTAAAAAAAAATACAATTTTCAATTAATCTAATACCTGTTTTAGGGAATGATATTATCCAGATATCGTCTTCCCTGACCTCCATGTCAATAACCTCCTGGGCTCTATGGGCGTACGCTTTGGTGGTGACTGTACCTTCCAACCTCACCTCCCCTGCTGGCATCGCCCCCTTACACTGGTCCTTCATGTACTGCGACGTCTCGTCTGTCAGGGGTTCGTGCTTAAGAGTCGCTCCAATGTCTGTTACATTTGAGCGAGAGTGATTAAAAAAATCTAAGAAATCTAAATTCTTATAACTTAGAGATTAGATGAGTTGAGTCGAAAAAGAAGTCGGGTATATTTCTTTGAAAAAATGATAATCGAATATCAACGTAAGGTCATATATTATGATTCTTACAGGTTCGTTATCTAAACTTAGTAATTTTTTTTAAAGTTTTCACATATTTAAAAAGAAGGTGTGTAGTTAAGCGTGTAAGAGGTGTGATGAGATTTATTTTTATTCATACATTTCTGTCCAATGCAAATATTAAAAAAAATATTTAGATTCGTTTGATTCACTATGTAAAGGAAAAAATAATAATGCTATTTGAAATTCCAAAGTTTGAAAAATAAAATCTGTTTGTAGCATGAAACAGCATGAAAAGGGTTATCTTAACAGACATAATACACGTATAGGCATATGACATAAAAATATTACTATACCTTACTTTTCCTAAGAATTTGGATTTGAATAAAATAACTAATTGAGAGTCGATGAATTTTACTGAATCAGTTTAAAGAGAAGCCTTTATTTAAAAAAGGTTCCAGTATAGGAGGCATGATTATGGTAACCAATTTAAACCTTATGGATTTTTCTTTTTTTGGCATTTTATTACAATTAGAGGTTATTCGCCTGAATAAAAATTGTTTTTACGATATATGGTAAAATAAATCAAGTAGCATCTATTCACAAATTGGAGAAAAACATCTAAAATTGCAATGATTGTAATTTATAACGTGTAACAGGTTTAATGTTTAATTCGTTGTTTAGAAATCTATTTTATAAGTTACACACCCCAAACCAGATAATGATTACCTTATTAAAAATTATATTTACGATATAAAGACTCCTTTGTCTTAAGTTATCATTTTGTTTTATATTCTCTTTTGTTTTATACACTAGATTCACACATATGTATAACTTATAGTAAAAAAAAAACAAAAAAACAAAGTATATCTTCACAATCAGTTACAATAATTTTATTCATACCTAAACTAAATAAATATATACTCAAACTTACCAACAATGCAGATAATTAAGAAAACAGCAGAAATTAGCTTCCATTGTTGCATCGCCTTTAATCTGAAAGAATTATAAAGTAAATACTAGATACCATGATTATAAAAAGTTTCAATAAGACTTCTACATATTATATGAAAACTGGCATACTATTGAGAAAAATTTCTCAAAGTTATATTTTGATTTTAATGGACTAAATCAATGTCTCTGAAACTTCTAATAGATTTCTGAGTTTTTGTTAGAATGTTATGATATTATTATTTAATATAAAAATATTGTTTATGAAGCCAATTAACTATACAAAAGAAAAGAAAAACTAAACAAAACGGCCTTTTAATTATTTATAAATTTAGCGTGCCTATCATGTTTGAATGAAACATGTCCTTATAATTTTGTGAAATTTATTTAGTTACCTCTTGTATTTTTTTTTACTTTCGCAATTTACCTTTATTAACTCACAATTTATAGCTCGTAGTTAATGCACATGTGTAGCAACACCACATGTACAGTTACATCATTGTGACTGAGTTGACCTAATTTGCACAAAGGGTATTTTTACGTAGCACGTAGATATTAATTTTATATACAGGTGCTTTTTATAGATAATGGCAAAATATTTTAAAATATATACAAATACATAGGGACTTTTCGAATTTACTCATTTATACGTAAAATATATCTATCTTCTATATACAGTATATAATACGTGAAGCCGTTTTTTTTTAACACTACTCCTCCCTTTTTGTGGGCCTATTCCAACGTTTAAGGTGTCAAAAGATTTGGCTCAATCTGTAGTATAGCAATATGGTGTTAGAGTTAAAAAATCTTAACCTTAAGGGTGTCAGGTACTTTTAAAGGTCACATTGCCCCCCCCCTCCCCTAAGATTTACATTGAATACATAAAAAAACTGCTGTTTATAAATTAAAGGTGCCAGCTTTTTGGTAGTAAATATTGTTGTCGTTAATGTTCAGGAGGTTATAGACCATTCCAACAGCTAATCAGTTTTGTTGTAATAACAGAAAATGTATCGAGTTCTAAGAAGAAATATTGAAAACAGGAGGAGCAGACAATTAATAGGAGATCCTATACCTATGAGAAGAGTAGAAGAGATGCCTAGTCTAACAGAATGGAATCCAGACACTTGGAGAGATGAATAATATTTTCCAGTTATGCTATGGAACTTACTTTGGAAGTAAAAAAACATCAATAATATAATACAGGGTTAATAAAGAGTGTGGAGACCCCCTGTAATTTTTTTACGGCCCATACTAGAAAAACTAAGCTCTGCATACCTTTATGGCATGTTATAAAGTATTTTTTGGGCATCACCGCCACTTCGTGCCCATTCCCCATATCTCAAATTTTTCAAATGATAAGAACCATCGAGTGAAGGTCTGACCCTTAATTTTGAAGGACTTGATAAAAGAAATCTAACAACGCAAACTAGAGGTCTCTATCTTAACACAGTAAAATATGGCAGTTAATTGAAATCCTTAGAAGTCAGAATTGACTGCCATAATTTACTGGGTTAAGATAGAGACCTCTACTTTACGTTGTTAGTTTTGTTTTATCACGACCTTTGAAATGAGGTGTCACTCAATGGGGCTTAATATTTCAAATTTTTTAGTTTTTAAATTTCTTAGTTTGCAAACTAAGTAGCAAATAGGCTCAAAAAGTACTTCATAACATGCCATAAAGGTGTGCAGAGTTTAGTTTATATAGTGTGAGCAGTTACAAAATTTACAGGGGGTCTCCAGACTTGGCTAGCTGTAAGTTAAATTTTACTTCTGAGAATTTCAATAGACTGCCATTTTTTACTGGGTTGAGATAGAGACCCCTAGTTTGATGTGCTAGTTTTCTTTTATCAGGGCCTTCAAAGTGGAATTTTTGAGTTTCCCCCAAAATCCCCCATTTTCTGGATGAACACGAAGTACCGGTTATGCCCCAAAAGTGCTTCATAACATGCTATAAAGGAGTGCAGAGTTTATTTTTTCTAGCGTGAGCCGTAAAAAAATTAACAGGGGTCTCCAGACTTTTTATTAACCTTGTATACACATCATGCGGTCACAGCGGGAAAGTAAACCTACCTTATGTCAGATCAAAATGAATACATGCAAGAAATGTTATCGATGACAGATATTTAAGTCGGGAAACATTTGTAGAAAACACAAAAAAATAAGACCGGCATCTGAAGAATGATAAAATATTTACAGTAGGTGTTTACTATTTCAAACTGTTATTGACAGATTGAGTATTTCTATTAGTTACATAAGCTTAGTTGAGTCTATTGATTATCTGATAAAAAATTATGACTGTTATTACTGTAGTTTTAAGATAACTCCTGTGTAATACTGATACTTAACGATTGCTCGATTTCGAACAACAGGTACACTAGTACTAATAATTGTTTAGTAAATCATGACACAAGCGATTTGATTATTCCTATGAACTAAAGCATGACTAAAATGATACATCTTCAAAATAACCTGTATGTTAACATTGCATGTATTTTTTATGTTCTGTACCTCATGAAATAGTTAAATAATATTAAAACACTATCTTAACTATCATAGTATGTTGACATTTCATTACGACATGTTTTAAATTGCTTTAAAATTCCAAGATAACTCCATATCATTGATATATTATACCTTGTTTGGAATGGAATTTATTTACTTAATATGATTCGACATAGTTTTAATTTGTCTAGTTCCATTCGTCTATTAGACTTGATTCCGAATTACTGGTCAAAAGAAAATGTTTTTGTTCACAATTCCTCCACTAAGTATATAAATTTAGGAAATATATCCATCGAAAAAATGTAAGATGGTAAACTGGCTAAATGCATGTGGCAATCCGTGAACATTGGAAATCAGTTTTTAGGCTACATTTACATTATACTATTTTATATAAACTATGTATATATTGCAATTGTTTGTTATGGATGAGTAGGTCTATGTACTAAAATAACTCTAAACTCTGTTGTGTGTTTCTACTTCGTTTCGTGAAATCTTTATAAATGTCTAGTTTATTTAAAAAATTACGGACTGAAAATACTATATTTAATATTTACAAATATCTACGTTTAGGGTTTAATTTGAATCTAAAGATGAAATTTAACGTTAATTATTATAGTAAAATGTATTTAGAAAATCAAATATACTCTTTCAAAAAATATTATATAGTTCAATGTCTTACTCACCTGAGCATAGTGAACGAATGCAATGTAGGCTTACAACTGTTCGTACAATACTGTATAGCAGTTATACAATAATGTAAGTACAATTGCTCAATATTTCAATAAGTCAACAACAGAGCAATTGGAGACCAATTATGAAAAAGCCTGTTTTAAGTAGGTCATTTTAGTTGATCATTATACATATGTTAAACTGAAAATTTTCTCTATGAAATAACAAGACGAGGGTTTGGACCGTTATATTAGATAAAACGTATTCGGATTGATCAGGGGACCTCCTGACTCTTCCTAAGTTCTAAAAACCAGTACAGTATAATTATTGTAACAGTTCTATAAATTAATCAGTAGATTCCACGTATCCAAGTAGCATGATAACTAGGAAACTGGTTGAAATTTGCAAATAATCAACAATCTATGTTTGGAAAGCGGTGATGCTGATGACACAACACAATTTTTTACTTCATTACTTGACGAAAGTGAAATTGATACTCTTTGTATGCCATCGGTGAAAAGATTTCACTCGAATAGTTGCTAAAAATTACTCTACTCAACGAAAAATCAACGTACGGTATCCTTTGAGAAAGATTTATGATGTGAAAAAGTTGTATTGATCTTATTTTCAACAAAGTAAACAAAACAACAAGGTAAGTTAAACAAGAATATTACAATCAAAAATATAAAAGTAAAGGTAAATAATATGTATTTAATTTACTATATGAGATGCTGAATAAACACTAACACTTCTAAAAGAGATTAAAAACTTTAGGGCAGTTGTTACTTAAGTTCAATTACATATCAAATGTCTTGCGATAATATGGTTGCTATGATCAGATCAAAGAAGATATACACTTGCATTTAGTAGGATCATGACACTTAACTATAGGGTTCGACACCCTTTTTCGAATAGGGTGTCGAAAAAACTACATTTCAAGTATTTGAGTTATCATTTCTTATAGGAAAAGAAAGAATGGGCCTATGCGTATATACCCAGAGATTCGCCATTTGTTTTTTATATATAAAAACATTTATCGTTAAATTATTTCAACTGATTTAGTGAAATTGTTATGCATTGTAAGGGTAAAAACACTTATGTTAGGAAAAATCTAAGCAGGTTCAAGTTAGAAATTTTTAATATCGGCCGTTAATTTTTATAACTTAAACACAACTATGTGATACGTGGAAGACGGTAAACAATTTTAATTTAGAAAAATATTTAAGGTTATGAATCTGGTTTCAAATAAAAATACCTCTGGACTGTAACAAGGTGATACATTCAGCTCTACTGTGTAGGTTAGACAGGGAGACTAAGAAGACAAACACACAATTTCACAATATTAATTACTCCTGACGTTGTCCATTAGTTGTAGAATGTGGTCAAAGATTATGGAACCTGCATCCTCAAAATTTACAGTACGAGAACCAAATATTGAAATGTTTACACTAATGGGTTTGACGGCAAAATATGAGAATAGGTGGTTTGGTAGGCGACAGATTACAACGTAAAAGCATGGATAAAAGGAGTAGCAGCAATGCTGTCGATTCCTTTCCCTTCCACTAAATTTGATCAGTTCAATCATTTGCCCATTAGTCATTGATATGGTCAAAGTCAATAATAGTTATCGAATAAATACACTTTGATAACCCACAGAAAAGTAATTATTTGTAAAAGCAATTTTCACATGAAATAGTTTTTTTTTGTCCTAGGACTCTAGGTACGAGCCCAGGATTGTTTTTTTCACACTGATTCAGGCTAGACCTAGTGGAAATATCACTTTTAATAACCCATTGGTGATTTGGTGCGATAAACCCGGGACCTACAGACTGAAATCCCGCACTATAAACACTAGACTAGCTCGCTCCCTGACATGCATTAGTAAAATACCCCCGCCACAGCAAACCTGCCGACTAAGCGAATTTCCATTTGTCTGAATTGATTTTCAGTTAAATATATTTTAATAACATTAGGTTTAATGAGTAGCTAGGTTTGCTGCTACAAGGAAACTAATAAAGTGTGTTTTTGAGTTAAATATTGATAGCTTAGTAAAAAATAAATAAATTTTGCCAGGTTTGATCAAAATATATCCATAAATAAGCAAACTACAACATTTGACAATATTCTCAATAAGAATAACATGGGAATTTTAAATTTAAATTTTTTTAAATTTTCTTCGTTACTAATAATCAAACAAAAATACTTTTATATACTAAATTATTTGTTTTTTAAGCTCTTTAAAAAGGTCTAACGAAAAAATCGGGAAATTTTGTGTTTTGAGGGTCAAAAGTGAGAAAAACCAATTTTTATCCCATAAAACCCCCCGTAAAGCCCCGTTCCCATGGTCTGATCGTGCTGGTTCGCGAACTCATTAAAGTTTATCCCGCTTTACACCTTTAAACCAAATTTCATCAAAATCGGACAAAAATTACTCAAGTTATCGCGTTCACGGACGTATATCTATATAAATAAAATTAGAGTTTTGTCTGTACATTGCTCCGAATTATATATTTTTAGGTTATTTTTACGTCTTATACATTAAATAAGCAGAAACGAGTCTTATCTCAATTTCTGTCTGTCTGTCTGTCTGTCTGTCTGTCTGTCTGTCTGTCTGTCTGTCCCTTTGTCTGTAACACTCAAGATGGCATTTTACGCTATCTTCTACTGGAAAACGAGAGTACCTAACAAGATCCAAGTCATTTTAATGTATTCACTGGATTGGCGAGATTGTCTTAAGCCATTAAAATATGGCCTCACTACTTTGTAAATAATATTACGAACGTTCAAAAATGTAGTTTTGTGCGATTTATGTAAAGTTTTCGTCCAATTTTTATTGCATAATCATCTATGAAATAACGAACAGCTGTTCGGATCAAGATTATTTTTCCTAGCTGTCACTGATATGTTTACAAATGTTGTTTACAAATACCGCAACCTTTTTCAATCACGTTTTGAATGTAAATCCCAAGTGATTAAAAACGTTTTTCTTACATAACCGATTTAATTAATCGAAAGTGCAATAATATAGTGTAATAGTGTAACCGTGTAAATGAAATTAAATAACTAGGCATCATCCAGTTCAGGAACCAGAGATTCTTTGTGTATAAATTGTTCTTGAGTTTTGATAACCAGAAAGACGACCTTGAATCAGTGTTGTATACGGCTGGGAAACTTTAAATTTAATAATGATCGTCGCCAAATGGCTTAGAAATATGGTTTCCACTCATTGACACGGCGCTTCAATGGCGGTTGTGTAAAAGGTAAAGTAAAAAATCACAACTGCAGTGGGTGATTGTAACAGAGGTTTACGGATGATGCTAAACTCGCTTTTCTAATGTGTTATTTTCTGTTCCTACCATTGACTATATATATAGTCAATAGTACCTACTCACCGTGTGATGCAATCGCTGGACCATACAGCCAATAGGCCCATAGCCCATCTCTTGGGTACGTACGCCTACCCAATTATTCATAACAAACTGTTCGACGGCGATCCTTGATACCGGTACTTTTCCCTAGAATACACGGCCTACCTACTTAAGAAATAAAATTACAAACGTCCAAAAACCCAACGTTGTGTGATATTTGTCACATTTCCTTCTAATGTTATTAGATAGCCTTTACCAATCATTGTTTAGAGAATAGGTACGTAATCTATTAAATAACAAAAAGTTGTTTGTATGAGGTTGTTTTTTTTTCAAACTGACACCGATAAGTTTACATTAAAAGTTGTTTACAAATAAAGCAATTAATGGGAAATAACGTTGATTGCCGTTTTAAAACGTTTTACGAGAAAATCCAAAACCAAGAGATCAATAACCTCGGGACTTGATTAACTCATATAATTGGTCGGCTGTACTATAGTTACTGTATCAACTGTGAACGTTGGTTTTTGGTTCCGGTTCTATTCCTTAGAACCGTTGGTACTGTTGGTAGTAGTAAGAATCATTTTTAAGTACCAAAAACACATCACTGTACTTTAAAAATTAGTTATCGTTGGTGTTGCACCTTATTTATTATTACAGGCGTATTCAATTTGATTGATGTCTTAACTGTACAATTTTGGCTTTTTCTTTCTTGATTCCAAAATGTTAGTTTATGCTAAGAAAACGATAACGCATTTTAGTGAAACATTTATTCAGCAAACCATAATGAATTGTTTAAACGCTTTACGTTGTTTATGTATCAATAGTTCGTGGCCTATTTTGGTAATATTTACTATAAATTACCAATCGTCTATAGTACTTCATTTCATATAGTAAGCCGTCATTTCGGGTCATCATCGGTCCAAGCAAATATACATTGTTATGATGAAATTTGATGACATAATATTTCAGATACTAATTTAACAAGTACTTTGTTATGCTTAAACCGTAGCAAATCCCCTAATTAAGTTCTGTATTTTTGTGTGTATGTCTGTTAGTAAAGCATTAATGTCCTTATTTCTCAGTGTTTCACGGAAAGGGCAAAAGTACCTTTATAATGAAAATGTCAACACGAATAAAGTGTTAAATTGGGAGGTTGAGGTAGTACCTTAAATACTTTAACCATTGTGGAATGTAACTTTCAATTATATGCCTACATTAGGGCTATGCCTCATAGATCTATAAAACATTTTTTAGTTTAATCATTGGATTTAACATATGGACCAACACGACCCAGGTTACATTTAATTTCGAAGCATTTGTTTTGGCTTGAAACTGTCAGATACTGTATTTGCGAAGGTTTATATATAATAGTTTTGCTAGCATATCTGAAAATATGGAAACCAAATTCTGTTCTTAATAAAAATGTTTTAATAATAACTGACTACAATAAGATCCCCGTGCGTAGAACGGGCACACAGCTAGTATATATATATATATATATATATATATAAGTCTATATATATATATAAGTCTATATATATATACATATAAAAATTTGAACGAATGGTGTTTTTGGCCTCTGGGGACATCAAAATGAAAAAGGAAATCGGTCCCGGGTCTAGGTCTTACCGTGCCACCTACGGTAATAGCTACTTCCCTAAAGGGAAATTCGCTAAAAACCACAAATTAAACTATTATCGTACCGGTAAACATGAATCAAGATCA